CCCCGAGGGCAAGCGGCTCAAGGTACCTCACGCTGGGGTGGGACGGGTGCGACTGGGGCCTTTGGTGGCACCGTGGGCGAGGGGGGGACACCATGGGGCCAGGTGGTGTGGACATGGGGTGTGGTGGCCACCAAGAGTGTGGTGGGCGTCATAGAACTGGTCGGGTTGGTGTGGGGTCAGGTGTAGTAGCTTGGGTACAGGAGGCACTGCGGGACCAGATGTAGGGGGGGCATGGGGCATGGTGGACACCATTGGTCATGGTGGGTACTATGGGTTGTGGTGGACTCCATAGGTCATGGTGGACTCCATGAGTCATAGTGGGCATCATGGGTGGCCACCATGGGTCACTGTCGGTAACATGGGTCATAGTGGCACCATTGGTCACAGTGGGTACTATGGGATGTGATAGACTCCATAGGTCATGGTGGACTCCAGGGGTCATAGTGGGCAGCATGGGTCATGGTGGATACCATAGGTCATAGCGGCCACCATTGGTCATGGTGGGTACCATGGATCGTGGTAGACTCCATGGGTCATAGTGGGCACCATGGGTCACGGTGGATATCATGGGATGTGGTAGACTCCACGGGTCATGGTGGACACTATGGGTCATAGTGGCCACCATTGGTCACGGTGGGTACCATGGGTCGTGATAGACTCCATGGGTCATGGTGGACTCCATGGGTCACGGTGAGCACCATTGGTCACAGTGGGCACCATGGGTCATGGTAGACTCCATGGGCCATGGTGGGCACCATGAGTCCCAGTGCATATCATGGGTCGTGGTGGGCATGGTGCACGGTGGCACCATGAGAAGATTGGCCAGGGCATCGGGGCAGGGAGTGGGGCACATACAGGAGGTTCCCAAGAGTGGGCACCCTTGGGTGCGCAGGTGGAAGAGCCGGGCACCGAGCATGAGGACCCCGTGGACTGTCGCCAGTGGACCCAGCATCACCTGGTGGCAGCCGACATCCGCATGCCACCCACCATGGCCCTCACGCCACCCCAGGGCGAGTTCGACTCCGACTGCATGGACGTCAACGTCCGCGGGCCGGGTAGGAGGGCACGTGGGGCACGTGGGCATGGGGGGAACAGGGACATGGGGCATGGAGGAACATTGGCTGAGGGCTGGGATGGGCCAGGTAGGATGAGCGTGGAGGACACCAGGGGCATGGGGGCCACCAAGGACGTGGTAGGAAGGGCATGGGGGATCCCCCACTGTGGGACCTGCTGTGGGGCATGGGGGTACTGGGAGGTTGGGGTGCACCATGGGGTCAGATAAGGTGGACATGGGACATGGGGGGCACCATGGGACCTGGTAGGGGCTGTTGTGGGGTGTGGGGGTACTGGGAGGTTGGCCGTGGAACCACATAGCGTGGATGTGGGGCAAGAGGGGCATCATGGGCATGGGGGGCACCACAGCAGCTGGTGGAGGGGGTTGG